TCCCTGCCCTCCACCTGCCCCAGGGTGGGCGGTCCCTGCCCTCCACCTGCCCCAGGGTGGGCGGTCCCTGCACTCCGAGCTCAGAGCCCGTCCGCCAGAGCCCGGGGCCAGGGTTTCTGTCTGTGGGAGGCCCCTCAGGGAAGGGGCTGAGCAGGAGGCCTTCTGGCCACAGTGGAGGCTGCAGCAGCAGAAGGGGGGCAGCTGTGGGCCACCGGCCTTGTCCCAACAGGGGCCACTTTCTCAGCTGGAGGGATACTCAACCAACAACAGGATTTCTGGTTTTTCACAAAAACCAACTTAACCCACATCCTAGCCTCCAAAACGTCCCATCCCAGGCAGCCAATGTCAGCCATGGTGACAGTGCAGGGCCGGGGTGCAGCAGACCGGCTGGTGCTCCGGAGCCCCTTCCCTAAGGCCCCAACACTCACAGTTACATTTGGTGGCACGAGAGCCATTTTTGCTTTGCTTGTGAAGCCTTCCAGCCGAGGCACCAGAGTTATTCAGGGAAGTTTTCAATCCATATTCACTCAAGAAAGTCCACCCAAGCAGGGCACAGTGGGGCGCAGAGGCGCACGCCTGCAATCTCAGCAACTCAGGAGGCCGAGGCAGGAGGATCACAGGTTGGAGGCTAGCCTCAGCAATTTAGTGAGGCCCTGTCTCAAAAAGAATAGACGAGGATGTGGCTCAGTGGTGGAGCACCCCCGAGTCCAATTCCCAGTAACACCGCCCCCCAAGAAATAAAGTTCCACAGAATTCCTGGAGGGCCTGTGGGTAATTATTGCCTCACTTAGACCTTCAGGGAAACTGACACCCAGAGCAGCCAAGGACTGTGCCCAGTCTAGAACAGGGTGGGGCTCTGCCAGGTGGGAGCAGGGAGAGAGGTGGGGCAAGTGACAGGTGGGAGCAGGGAGAGGGGTGGGGCAGGTGAGAGGTGGGAGCAGGGAGAGGGGTGGGGCAGGTGAGAGGTGGGAGCAGGGAGAGGGGTGGGGCAGGTGAGAGGTGGGAGCAGGGATAGAGGTGGGGCAGGTGAGAGGTGGGAGCAGGGAGAGAGGTGGGGCAGGTGAGAGGTGGGAGCAGGGAGAGGGGTGGGGCAGGTGAGAGGTGGGAGCAGGGAGAGGGGTGGGGCAGGTGAGAGGTAGGAGCAGAGAGCCGTCAGGCGGGGCGGACAGGTGGGGCGCCCTTCCCAGTGGCATCCTTCCCGCCCTGTGGTGACGGTCCCCCTTGCAGAACCTGGTCATGTTCATGAGTGACTTTGTGGACTGGGTGATCCCGGACATCCCCAAGGACATCAGCCAGCAGATCCACAAGGAGAAGGTGCTCATGGTGGAGCTCTTCATGAGGGAGGAGCAGGGCAAGCAGCAGCTTCTGGACACGTGGATGGAGAAGGACCGTGACAGCGAGGACCCCTGCAACCACCACAGTGCCACGCCACGCCCCGGCGGCGGCGGCGGCCCGGGCCCCGGCGGTGACCGCGGGGGCATGCTGTAGCTGCGGCGCTGCGGGCGGCGGCTTCCCGACGGGGGCGCCCTGGGGTGGGCGCACTTTGCCCCTCCAGGGCCCTGTGGCTCCCAGGAACATGGAGGGCCACTTTCTGATGGGACATTTTTCTCTCTTCTTTCTGTTTTTCTCCTGTTTTTGCACAAAGCCATTATGCAGGGATTTTTTTATCGTTAGTATTCAAGGTGAACCAACGTGATGGCTGGTGGTGGGCAACAGCGGGCCAGGGCGGGCGCTTGGCAGGGCCCTCAGCGGGCCAGGGTCCCCTTCGCAGTGGGGAGAGAGCAGAGGCCCTAGAAATCATCTGTTCCTCTGACCGATGCCTTAAGACAGTGACAGATGGTCTCCACGGCATCCGGCCCGAGCTGGAGCCAGGTTTGGGGAAGAACAGAGAGGCTGAGAGGGACTGTGGGGACGCAGCTCCCCAACGGGTCACCTGGCCGGCCGCAGGTCAGAGAAGCCCAGGACTGTGATCCTGACTCCTTCGGTGAGCGCGGAAGCTGAGGCACTCTGCTCAGAGAGGTGCCTGGCCCTGGCCACACAGGGGCACGGGGCTCCCGTCCATCCTTGGAGCCCAGGGGTGCAGGTGTCCTGATTAAGCCATAGCTGACCAGCACCCCTGCGCCAGCCTCACACCCTGGGTGCTGGGCTTCATCAGTCGATGCCCTTTTGTGAGATGAGACCAGGGTGACAGGGAGGTGGGCAGGGAGATCACCTCCAAGGTGATCTGAAGGAGGTTCAAGGGCACCACCAAGTCCTAAGGCTTCTGAGAGTCATTCAAAGCTTTAGAATACTTCTTGGTTTTGTTTAGTTGTTTAAAACTAAACTGCGGGATGTGGAGGATTTTTTTTTCTGTAGCTCAAGGTGGAAGTTTATTAGTTAACCAAGTATCATTGAGAGGAATTTCAAATACTGTTACTACCAAAGATTTTTATTAATAAAGGCTTCTATTTTGGTAACATTTCTCTATATTTACTCACGGGAATGTCTCTGATGGACAATGATCATTTTAAAAGCTTGTAGATTAAAAAAAAAGTTCTCATAAATGATATGAGTGATCTAAACTTGCACTGGTTATACTAACCAGTTATCTGAAATTTCTCAAGCACCAAGAAACAAAACGTTTCAAGGCCAAGGAGAAGATCTCCATGGTGTGTTTGAGCGTTTCCTGGTGGTGAAATTGACATTCCTGCAGTTGACTGGCGGTCGGTGATCGGAGCCCCTCCAGGGGTCAGGTCTTCCTTACTTGCTAAAATCAAACTGATGCTTCTATTTTCTCTTGTACAGTAGGAGTTTCAAATGGAGTTTTTGTATATAAATATTGTGTTAAGAATTAGGTGACTACCAAAATTCCTTTTATGGAATCCATTTTTTAAAAAACTGAATGTACACAAATCCACAGAGGACTGTGGCTGAATATTCATTTAAATAAATTTGAAAACACAATGCTCTCCTTATTTGAGTGCTGCCTTCATGACCTGTGCCCCAGGACACTCCAGAGGCTCCCCACAGTCGGGGACATGTCCTCGCTTGAGGCTGCACGTTTGGGTGTGATTGACCAGGAAGGTGTGTTTCCTGTGCAAGTTGTCCTAGGTGTTCCTGGGACTTCGGCTCCTGCGTGTGTGTCCGCGTGCCAGTGTGTGGCTGCACGGGCTCGTATGCGTGCCCAGGCCTGTCTGTGCACACGTGTGCGAGTGCGCACCCGCTGGCGTGTTTGTGGCCTTGCCTCTGCTGGTCCTGGGCGTGCGCACGCATGCTCGCCCGCACTGTAGGCCTGCATGCAGCGGCGCGCGTTTGCTTTCGTGGTCTCGGGCTTTGCACCGTGGAACCCACACACCTGCCAGCGCTGCGTGCACACGCACGTCCTGGTGTCCGCTCGAAGGAGGTGTCACGCCAGCTCACCAGGCTCTTGCGGGCTCCTGAATCCACAACCCAGCACGTTGGTACTGAACTCAGTTAAATTTCCCAAACCTTTTGGGGAGCCCCCTTGGATTGCCAGGGTATACACGTGGGCAAGCGAGGACACTTTAAGCGCCACCCGTGGTCACCATCATGGCAGTAAAGCCTGGCGACTTTTACCCCCAGCACCCAGGAGCCCCGACCCCGCCGTGGCCTCCGGCGCCCCCTAGTGCCGGCGCGGAGCTCACGTCCAGCGCGCCGCGGGGGAGGACACGCCAGGTGGGCACTTGCCAGGTGAAGCCGGGACGCAGCGCTCGGGGGCACGGCCGTGCTCGGGGAGGGGAGCTGCCAACAGGCGCGCCCCTTCCCTCTGGGATGACCCTGCGGAGGGAGTCGGATGCTGGACCAGAAAACTAACCCTGGAACCGAAAGATTGGAGAGCGAGGAAGGGATGCTCAGGACGAAGTGGCAAGGGCTCTGAGTGTCAAGAGAGTGGCCTAGTTGGTCAGCGAAGCCCTCGCGACGTGAGCAAAGAGGAGCCAGAAACAAAGCCCTCAGGTCTGACCTCCTCGGTTCCCCCAAAGAACCGGGTCAGGCAGAGAGAACTGTGGTGCAGAGGTCCTGAGGCAGAGAGTAGGTTCCAGGAGTGGGGGGGAGGGAGTGGGGGGGAGGGTGTGGGAAGGGAAAAAAAAAGGGAGAGAAATGGAGTACAGAAGAGTGGGGGGGAGGAGAGAGGAGGGGAGGGAGGGGGGAGAGGAGGGGAAGAGAGGTGGGGATGGGGGGAGAGGTGGGGGGAGAGAGGGGAGAGTAAGAGAGTAAGAGAAGGAACACGAACAGAGGGTTGATATTTATGGGCTTAACGCAGGATGAGGAGGAGCAAGGCAAGTGGGCTGTTACTTCTTCATTGGCTAAGAGTTCGAGCCACTTCAGGGATTGGAGGTGCGCCATTCAAAGTTCGCGCCATTCACAGGAATTGGAGGTGATGGTTCATGCGCCATTCAGTACTCATGGACCTGAGCTTCCGGAAGAGAAGCACTCTGGGAGCCATTTTTACCAACATCCTTAAGGGCCAATTCTTAGGCAGTCCTCATCCTCAGAGAGATGTCTTGCTCCTAGTACTAATGCTCATGGTACTAAGGCACCCTCCCTCCACCGCTAGTCAGGTAACTGGGGAGCAGGGACCATTTAAGATGGTGTAGGCAGCCAGGCACAGTGGTGCATGCCTGTAATCCTTACAGCTAAGGAAACTGAGGCAGGAGGATCGTGAGTTTAAAGCCAGGCTCAACAACAGTGATGCGCTAAGCAACTCAGTGAGACCCTGACTCTAAATAAAATACAAAATAGGGCTGGGGATATGGCTCAGTGGTTGAG